TTGGTTTCAATTAGTCATGGCGAAAGTACCCGGAATCTCTGAGATGCTGTAGGCGTAGCTGCGTGCTTCGACTAATTGTGGCGGTGACTATGCTTTCGGTGAGACATTTTCATTTCGAGAGTGGATATGCCTTTGTTCAACACAGAACAAGACGACAGTTGTCTCAAGTTGAAATATCCCTTGAGTAACACATCTTACGCCATGTTCAAATGTCACGCCTACTCTGTCTCAGGGATAAGGAGTGTATCTCATGATCCTCGCTGAGTCGCTCAGACAAATTTTAATTGTATACACCCTCCCCCCCTCTTACTGAGGATCGTGAATTCTTGAATATTTTCACATCTGATTAATGAGTGTTCAGTGAGTTAATTTCCCCAAGAGTTGAAACAGTGGCAATAGAACGATGCGGTAGATGGGAATCGTGCCTCCCGACTGGGTCCTTTTTGTGAAATTTACTTGTACAACGCTGTTTCTAATGGGTTTCTCAGCTGTTTTATTTATGTCTTGCGAGTGTCTCCTCAATAGGTCATGTATCAAGCAGTCTAAACTTGGGATGTACAGTGTTCAGACTTGCCGCGCTGCAATTCGTCTTCTTCTTTCTAGCGTTAGTCCCGCGCCGTCGCAGGGTCCGCTGTTCGTGTTCGACGTCGCCACTTACTCCGATCCACTGCATCCTCTACCGTGGCTTTCACTTCAGTGAGTCCTTCTTGATGACGTCTCTCCATCCTTTCTTTGGGGCTCCTCGTGGTGCTTGCCCTCTGCTTGGAATTCCAATTGCTTCCTTATTGGGTGGTCTTCTGGCCTCCTTAGTACGTGCCCATACCATCGCAGTCGTTGCTCTCGTGCCTTCAGCTGGATCGGAGCGGTCTGTGTGACCGCCCTGACGTCCTCGTTTCTGACTCTGTCGAGTCGTGTCCAGCCGCAGGCCCATCTCAGCATCCTCATTTCAGCTGAGTGGAGCTGCCTTTCATGGTTCTTGCAGATAGGCCAGCACTCACTGCCGAGCATTGTAGTTCTTGGATTACCAACCCACGCGCCGCGGTACAGCCAATATTATATATATATAGAGCGTTCTCCAGAGCAGGCCACCCCGGTCCGCCGCACAGGATTCCAGTGCAGCTCCCTCCATTTCATCAAAGGCCTGCCTGTTGATTCTCATCTCTCCACCCACACTGGTCCACGCTGACCATCCAGCTGCTAGCCTCGCTCCCCAGGTAGCTGGAAGTCTCCGACTCTTTTGATGACTAGCCGTGACGGTCCCACGATGGGCTTTCGGTACACTCTCGGAGCTCAAGATGAACCTTGGCTCTTCTTCACGTTCAACCGGAGTCCATTCTCAGCGAGCACATCCTGCCACCGCTGCACCTTGTCCTGAAGTTCTTCCCTGCTGTCCGCTATCAGGGCGATGTCGTCAGCGTAGAGGATGGTTTTCCAGTGGTCCCTCCATGAGTTCTTTTGCCATGACATCTAGAGTCAGGAGGAAGAGGAACGGGCTGAGGGCTGACCCTTGGTGTACCCCAACCGTGATGTTTACCTCCTTTGTCAAGCCGTGCGGGGTGCGTACAGCTGCTTTAGCTCCATCGTACATATCCTTTACTATGGAGACCAGGTGCTCCGGAACGTTACGTTCTCTGAGCGCTCTCCAGAGTACAGGCCGAGGCAGGCGGTCGAATGCCTTCTCTCAAGGTCCAGGAAGGCTAGGTAGCAGGGTCGCCGCTTCTCTCGGTACTTCTCCATCAGCTGTCTGGCGATGAAGATGGCGTCAGTGGTGGACCTTTCGGGCATGAAGCCGAACTGTTCCTGCGAGATAGGGACAAGTTCCTTCAATGGTGTGTTGAACCAGCGCTTCGTAGAGCTTCATGGTAATGGGATTACTTGATCCGCGCGTAGTTGGTAGCACTCCGTCGCTCTCCTATTTGAAGATGGGAACGGTTGTGCTGCTCCTCCACGCATCTGGCATCCTTTCTTCAGCCGTTACATTGTTTAGGAAGTGTGTCAGCCAACTCACGCCGTGCTGAAATTGTCGCGCTGCAGTTGTACCAGACCCTAGCTTCCCTTTATGTTATTTCTTCCGGTATTCAATTTCTTTTTCTCTGTTTCTCATTTCTACCTGATTCTTAGCTCCTCTTTTTCACTTCAACATTAAATTTTAATGTGGTTTAAGAGAAAGTTCAAGGAGTTCCAGCGGCATGGCTTTTTGCTTTTTCTTTTTGATGTTGGTGGCACTTTTTCCACTTTATTGGTCGAGTGCGCTATTGATTTAATACTCAATCATTCATGAGTAACGGCAGCGTTTTCTGTCGTAATAGGACACGACATCAGCTGTACAGGCAGATATTATGTCGCCTTTAGTGGCTATGTATTTGTTACAGTCTTGTTCTGCGAATGCTGGATCTTGTCAGGGGCTGGCTTTGGCGGCGCCCATTCCAGTCCTGCTGCCTGACCACTCCAACATTCGTAGCGAAGCGGACCGTACCTGTTTGGCTCACCTTACGCATGGGCGAGGTGGGCAGGTCCACAGCTGTAAGAGGGCTGGGTGCCGCTTTCGCCATTTGAAACTGCATGGCATCGGTGCTGGACTATTATTAATCTGAAGTTCTCTTTCTCTGCTTGCAAGCAAAGTATGCCTCAGGCATGAAGCACATCGTACGAGCAGCTACACGTCTAGCCATAGCCATTTGAGTGTGCACCATTTACTGAAACGCGTACGCGCCAACTATTGGTGGCGCCGCGCCAAGCCCACCCTAGAATACACCGAAGTTAGTTTCTCGATCAAGAGTTTCGATGATCAAATATAATTATTGCAAACCGTGACTCTACTAGTCTACTCTTCTCAACTGCTCGACTTGACAGACGCAATTTGCCCCAAGTGTGAGAAAATTGGTCCATCTCGGTCATGGAGGTACCCTTTCTTACGTAGTAAAACTACAAATAGTTCACCCGAAAACTGCCTAGTTTGGTTGAGTCTTGCTGTGCTCCTCTTATTCTCCTGTCTTGGCCTCGTCTGGCCACCATTTGGTGAAGAGGCATCTACGAGTGGAAAAAAAATCGATGATCGGAAAAAAATGGAGAGTGACACCTACGGTTCTTCGACTCGCAGCTGTCAGAGTTCAGAGCTTTGTTAACGACCTATTGAGCCCGAGCTGGCTTAATATGGGCCTTACTGGTCACTTATTTTAAATTTCCCATCTACTGTATAGTTGGTGACCTCCTGCACCTTTTAGGAAGTGTCATACTAAACAATGAAGTTATGACTGACTTTCCCTTCTTATTCATGCTCCCTTTGAGGTTGCCGGGCACCTGGAAAGCGACAAATCAAACCGACGGCAGCTGTGCTCGATTTGGTCCTGCCCAATGCTGACGATGAAGAAGATGACGAAGATTTCATAGGTGATGACTTATAATTGTTTTTATTTTGTCTGAAGGTTGCTGCTTTGTTACCTGATTCCGGATTTTCGCCCTGTTTGCCCTGTTTTACGCTTGTTAGCGGAGAATGCACTTTCCTGGACTTTTAGTAGTGAATCTCTTCGCCCAGGATTGATATTTAAGTTGTGCCATGTTTAGCAGAGCAGGATCCTGATTCCACTGAGGGCTCCGAATCTGGTGAAAGCGGATCGGCCGACGATTCCGCTAGCTCCACAGATAGTGAGGAAGGAGATGAAGACGATGAGCAGGAACGCCATCAAGAATTACACGATGAGGTGAACTGTGGGAGTAGCTTGGGCGCCTGTTCTGTATTTCTGGCTATCGCTGCATTATTATAGGATGCTGCTTTGGTCTCATCGTCTGCGGATAGGAACGTGAACGTGAGTGAATTAAGCCTTCGGTTGTCCAGGAAGTACAAGAGAGATAGGACTACTCCTGTCTCATTCTGAAGAAACTGCTACTCTACTGTACTACGCAACTTTTTCTCTGCCGCTGGGGAGGATTTTTGAAAAATACGACATCCTCGCCTAAAATCATCCCCTCTAGTACGACCTTCCCTCCCTTCCCCATCGTCCTCTTTCCTACCTTATCGACTTTTCCCTACTTCCTGCCACTTGTCCCCAGTTTTCCACGAGTCTAGTTTTTTGTTTTCCCTCAAAGAAACTGCCCTCGAGAGAGGAGGACTAAGAGGAGGAGAAGGAGGAGGAGGAGAACTAAGGTAATTCACTCGCGCACAGGAAAAAATTGTGAAGGCTTCCTGAGACCAAATACGACTCCTCCTTCTCACTTTAACGTTGAGACGAACTACGACCCCTTCAGTTCACCGACGAGGCAGGACTCCCCCCCCCCCCCCCCCCATTGGGAATTCCCGAACGTACGATGCGCTCTGCTTCCATTTGTCGCCAAATTGGAAGTCTGTGTATTCATTGGTGAAGAGCAACTAAGTTCCCATTTTTTTGCTGGGCAAAATACTGATATTGAATTATTTCAGCATCCACCGATCTGTGCCCTATGTTTGAATCTTTCTGAAATTGCCAAAACTGAAGAAGTTATGCGATGCGATAAGTGAGTTTCACTACTACTCGGACTTGTTCACGGGAAAGCCTCGGTTCTGAAACTTAATGGCCTAAGAGACCCTTTGGTTTAGATGTGGCCTGACTGTCCACGACTCGTGCTATCCCTCGTTAGACATGAGTGGTGACAGTGAGAGCTCGCAATCTTCTTCATCAATGGAGCCATGGTTCTGTGAACCGTGTGTGTATGGATTCAATGAACCGCCTTATTGTGAACTGTGCCCCTCCAGATACGGAGCGATGAAGAGATCGGGTAAGTCACTCATTGTAGTGAAATATCCAGCTCTTCATCTGCATATTCAGATGTTGGTGGTCGTTGGGTTCACCTTCTTTGCGCTCTCTATACGCATGGTGTCACTTTCGGGGACATCGATCATCTCGGCGCAATCAGCTGGCAGGAGATGGATCACCGAAATTTTGGGCGTAAAGTTGGTTGTTAGGTTTTGTTTTATTAACTATTTGACTATCGATTATACTCTTCTGGTCAGCAAGGAAAGTTCCCCTCCCGAATCCCTCGGGAGAGGAGAAGACAAAAAAATAGTGGCGATCAAAAATTGCTAGGCCACACACGAATCCCTTCATTAGGCAATCCTCACTGATGGTGAACCCTATTCACGGCACAGGTGTTCAGCTAGCTGAAGTCGCCAAAATTTGAATTCGCTGGATACCGTACCCAAATCTGCGCGGCTAATAAAAGCACCTTGGGTAACTACACCGGCTTGCGGCATGCCCAATTGTGTGCGTTCACTGGGTCGACACATTTTATTTTACGCGCGATTTCCGGAAACACAACATCTGTTTTTCCTCAGTTTATGATCTTGTGCTGAAACCATCTTCGGCTGACTATATCAACTCAGGCTCCACTTGAACCAGAACCTGAGCGGTACCCAGCATTTATCCTGACCATCCTACTTCATCGCATTGGGTCATCTTGTTCAAAATCCCTTCAACGGTTGTGAAATAACAGCCATTACTGAAGGAGCTCCCTAGGACATTAGGTGACCTGATGATCAAAACAGAGACAGTCAGGCTGTTGTTTGGGCAGATGACCTTTGGGGCACATCGGGCATTTAGTATCTCCTTGAAGGGAAACGTATTTGGTCACTGGAGGGAGGAGGTCGTAGTTGCCTTTGTGGAAAATGTTTTCAGTTCTCCCCTCCCTGCTCTACAACTACGGTAGCTCCTTAGGGAAAAACTAGGGAGTTTTGGAAAAAAAACTGCGGAAAAGAGGTAGGAGTGGGAGGAAGTTGGGAGAATACAGGAAGGTGGTAGGAGCGATGAGCGATGGGGAAGAGGGGCTCGTGCGGACGGGGGGGGGGGAACTTTGAGAAGAGTCGCATATTGCAACACTTCCGCAATTTTATGCGTGACTTGATGGCCTTTTGTCCCACGCGTCATTTTTCTGTCTAGAGTGCTTTCCAGGAATCAATCACCGTATGGTAAGGTTTCAGCGAGGGAACAACTCAGGCAACCTACTCGTTTCAACGAAATTGCGAAAGAAAAGGGGAATAAAGCTTGAAGAAATTAAAATAAGTGAAAGCAGTAAAAAAAATTAAGTAATCTATGGTAAAAATAGAAGATCCGAAGGGAGAGAT